AAAAAAAAAAAGTTACTGTTCATGTATGTGTCTGACATTTCTTGAGCTGCTGGCTATACCATCATAAATTAGTGTTCATTACTCAGACCTCACTCTTTTTAGATAATTGGAAAGTAATTACCTAAAAAGTGAAGGTAATTACTTAAAAGTAGAGTAATTATCTGAAAGTAAAAGATCTGATCATAGGAAACTATATAGAAAGAAAATACTTGGTATTTTCTCTTTGAGTTCAGAGTTGATGAAAGACCATTTATTCTCTTCCAACATCTCCCTTCTTTTCTTATCTCACTGGTGTGTTTCCCTGTTCCTTTCTATTATTTTACTATAGTATTTTTTTCAGTCAATATAGTACTAAAACTAAACTGAGTCTATAGGAAGAGGAAGAACAAATACAGAGTGTCTAATGTTTGCAATAAACAAGGGTTGGCATGTTATATGCTCCTAAATTAATCTTTCCAACCCACTATGATATAGATTCTTTGATTCTGGACTCCCATTTTACAGACATGGAGGCTCAGAGAAGTTAAATAAGCCTACAGGGAGACAGGATGGACCAAAACTCTTGCCTTCTACCACATGATGCTTAGAACATCCCTGGCACATAACATTATTGTAAGTACTAGCTATTATCAAAATTACTGGTCTTTGTGTACTAAATGACTGGCACAGAATTGACACTCGGTAAACACTGAATATAGGTATGAGTGAGTGAGGGAAAACATTGTCTCAACCATAATTTCTTAAGATATTTGTGGAAAATACTTTTTTAAATAACAGGGTGTTCTAGAAGTCATCCCTGTAGTCACCATACATTGGCAAAAATGGGAAATTATAGCTACGAGTACTTTTATTTTCACTACAAAATTTTACAAAGAGGTGTCCAACATATAGAGAATATTTTGAAAATATTTTGTACCTCTTCAGAGCTTAGAAAATTATTTGCATTAACTATTAACAAATAAGAGAAATCATAATTTTAAAAATCAGTTTAGATTGATAACTACTTGGAATTGATTCTGTTTTCTATAGGTGTATGTACAAGAACTAAAATTTATATTTTAGAATATATATAAAACGTACAAAATTTCTATCAATTTTTATTTCTCCTCAATTATAATATCTAATCCCTTATGGACATAAATTGTTAGCAAAAAAGTACCTTATTGCTTTCTTACATAGAATCAACCTCTTTAATTAAACAATTGAGAGAAAAGAATTGAGTTTACAGTAGTTCACATTATATTGATGTGCCAGGCCAGTGTTTTAAGCCTTTTCAGCACCTAAGGGACATAGCATTATTTTCATAGTACTTAGGAAACTGAGGCATAGAACAGTTAAGTAAGCTAAAGATTATACAGGTAGTGAACAGCAAGCAAAGCCAGGATGTAAACTCACGCAGTCCAACACACTTGTACTATCTACACCAACTTTATGAGTCTACTTTCTAAAAATTAGATTTAAACAAAACTTTTATCTTTAGCTATGTTAATTTTGTTTTTGTTTTAAAACAGACTCTGATTCTCGCCCCGGGTAGAGTGCTATGGCTGTTGTCATAGCTCACAGCAACCTCAAACTCTGTGCTCATGCAGTCCTTCTGCTCAGCCTCCCAAGTAGCTAGGATTATAGGTTCCCACCACAATGCCCAGATAGTTTTTCTATTTTTAGTAGAGACAGAGTCTTGCTTTTGCTCAGGCTGGTCTCAAACTCCTGAGCTCAAGCAATCTGCTAGCCTCAGCCTTCCAAAGTACTAAGATACCAGGCATGAGCCACTGTGCCCAGCTGACACTGGTTTTTCTTAAGATAATCTTTGAAACAAGTATTATCTGTCTAGTAGTCAAGATTAGTAAAAACATCTCCAAAGAGAACTCAATGGCTTAAGTAATATCTATTGTCCAGTACTGCCTGGAATGAGAAGTTACATACAAAGGCATTTTAATAGACTATTGAATTAATATTACCCTAAGTCACACCAGAACTTTCACATTTTAGACTATTTTATGCTCTTTGTTCTACTTAAAACGACAATTTACTCTTACACATTTGTCTTTGAATAATACAAATTTTGTAACATTTGCAATAATAAAATACCTTTTTCCCAAAATCAGTCAACACAGAGTAGAAAGATTGATAAGGAATGACTATAAAGAATTAAGGAATCTTTGTTTTTTATATACATGCTGAAGCTCATACAACTGAGGCAGTGTTTCTCAGCCATTTTCTGTTTTTACTCTATTCCCCATCTTGGAGCTTTGTATACATTTTTTTTCCTAATCATCCCCCTATGAAATTTTAATACCAGATTTATACTGCATATCTGTTTATGTATTATATGTCTGTGTTTTATAAATAGAGTAGGTACAAAGTTTACTCTTTTTATTCAATGCAGGCTTAAGAATGACTAAATATAGTTGAGTTAAATAAAATTAAGACTAAAGTTAAACCTTAAAAATAAGAAAGCTATTAAATTTAACTTTATAACTATATTTTCTAAATAACTCTTAGGGCAGTTTCTTTGCTTATATATGGTAATGTATCAGTTACATATGTAAAGAAACAATTTATATAAATACATAATAGCAACATAATTAAAATTTTAAAAATCAGGCCTAGCTCATTGGCTCACACCTGTAATCCTAGCACTCTGGGAGGCTGAGGCGGGTGGATTGCTTGAGCTCACAGGTTTGAGACCAGCCCGAATCAGAGCAAAACTTCATCTGTAAAAATAGCCAGGTAGTGTGGCAGTGCCTATAGTCCTTCAAAATTATTTATATTAACCTTCTATGAATAATAACAACAAAGTAAAACCTAATTTCAGTGGCTCGGAGCCCATAGCTCAGCTCTGGCCACATACACAGAGATAGGTTGGTTTGAACCCAGCCTGGGCCTGCTAAACAAGAATGACAACTGCAACAAAAAAAATAGCTGGGCAGGCACTTGTAGTCCCAGCTACTTGGGAGGCTGAGGCAGAGAATCACTTAAGCCCAAGAGTTTGAGGTTGCTGTGAGTTGTGATCCCACAGCGCTCTAACCAGGATGACAAAAGTAAGACCCTGTTCTAAATAAATAAATAGATAAATAAAATTTAGAAAATCATCCAAAACTTATTTTTCAGCAAAAAATGGTTGAAAAATTATATTCTTAAAAATTCTTTTTAGTGAAATTAACTTTTAACTTTTGCTTCATATGAGAAACTAATTTTAAATAGGTACTAGTCATTCAGATATTATTGAAATTAAGCACTTGTCATAATTTATGACAGGCTAAGTGAAAAATAGACTAGTTTTATTTAATTCTTAAAAAAAGGTTTGAAGACCAAACAGAAACATCTACAAGGGGGAGCCAGAGACAGTCTGTAGGCATGTTGCAGGCCACCTCTTGCAATATGACTTTAATATCAAGCAGTTGATCAACTGAAAGTCCTCTAATCATAGTTATCTATTCACTATAGTTTTGTACCCTAGTTCTTAACATAATTTTGTGTATATTCCATGAATTCATGCTGCTTGTGGGATACCCAAGAAATCCAATGAGAGAAAACTAAGTTACTAGGAATAAGATGTTATCAGATAGGATTAAGCTTTGGAGGGCCACAGACTATTATATCTAAGAATTTTTTGCCCCTTTCTGAGTTATTTCACCCTCACTGAGAATTCATAGTCTAACTAAAGTGAATGCTACCTTTCACAATAGTCATGTTTACTAGTTATGACATGACGTGAAGTTTTCCTCAGGAAATGCCCCACATTTGGGTCATATTACTTTGTTTTGTTTTTGCCATTTATTTACTGGAGGTGGTGTGCAGTGGCACAATTATAGTTCACTGCATCCTCTGTAGCCTCATACTCCTAGGCTCAAGTGATCCTGCTGCAGCCTGCCAAGGAGCTGGGACCATAAGCATAAACTATCACACCCAGCTTATTCTTTTAATTTTTAGAGACAGGTTCTTGCTGTGTTGCCCAGGCTGGTCTCAAATTCCTGGGCTTAAGAGATTTTTCCCACTTCAGCCTTCTGACTTGCTGGAATTACAGGCCTGAGCCACCATGCCCACTGTTTTTTCCTTTTAAAATTGCTTTCCACCAAATTTGCCAGAGTTTGCTCAAGCTCCATCTAAAGGTTAAACATATTCTCAAAAGACAACCATTTGTCATAATTGAGGCAACTACAAAGAATGCAAACAGGTTCTGAGCAGTACTGTAGAAAGATCAATTAACTTGATCTAGAAAACCAAGTTTCATCTATGCCCATTACAGGCCATGTGATCGTGAGTAAGTATCTTAACCTGTTTGAACCTTATTTAACTTACCTTGAAAATGTTAATTATGCCTACCTCCAAATGTGATGGTAAGGATTATGAGAGATAAAGTAAATGAAAGCAGAGTGTAAATTATGAAGAAAGATACAACTATCTGTAGTACTTATGTTAAAATCCATTCACATTGCTGAGCATTTATTGCTTATGATTAAGTAAAAACAGTAAGTGGCAGATATGAAAAAAAGATGATGAAAAACTAGCTTAAAAGATCAGAACCACATGATGTATTCAGAAGGCTATAGAAAATATGGCTAGGTGCAGTGGCTCACACCTATGATCCTAGCGCTCTGGCAGGCCGAGCTGGGTGAATTACCTGAGCTCAGGAGTTCAAGACCAGCCTGGGCAAAGGCGAGATCCTGTCTCTACCAAAAATAGCAAAAAAAGTAGCTGGGGCATGGTGGTGAGTGCCTGTAGCCCCAGCTACTTGGGATGCTGAAGCAAGAAGATTCCCTGAGCCCAGGAGTTTGAGGTTGCTGGAGTTATGAGGCCACAGCACTCTACCCAGGGCAATAGAGTGAGACTGTCTCCAAAAAAAAAAAGGAAAAAAAGAAAATAATACAAGCCTCTTAAAAATTTAAGTGATCGGCTCGGCGCCTGTGGCTCAAGTGGCTAAAGGCGCCAGCCACATACACCTAAGGTGGCGGGTTCGAATCCAGCCCGGACCTGCCAAACAACAATGATGGCTGCAACCAAAAAATAGCTGGGCGTTGTGGCGGGCGCCTGTGGTCCCAGCTACTTGGGAGGTGGAGGCAGGAGACTCCCTTGAGCCTAGGAGTTGGAGGTTGCTGTGAGCTGTGAAACCACGGCACTCTACCCAGGGGGATAGCTTGAGGCTCTGTCTCCAAAAAAAAAAAAAATTAAGTGATCCAGTGCATTGGAAATAAGAAGACTTCAAAATTATTTATATTAACCTTCTATGAATAGTCACAACAGACTAAAACATAATTTCAATGGCTCAGTGCCCATAGCTCAGCAGTTAAGGCACTGGCCACATACCCCAAGGCTGGTAGGTTTGAATTCAACCCAGGCCAGGCAAACAACAACAACTGCAACAACAAAAAAAAAGTAGCTAGGCGCTGTGGCGGGTGCCTATAGTTCCAGCTACATGGGAGGCTGAGGCAAGAGAATCACTTAAGCCCTAGAATTTGAGGTTGCTGTGAGCTGTGATGCCACAGAACTCTACTAAGGGTGACATAGTGAGACTGTGTCTCAAAAAAAAAAAAGTTTTAGGTTTTCATCTAAGTAAATAGGAAATATTGCTAGACTTATCAAACCTTTCATGGAAATATCATTAGGATAAAGAAAATTGACTTGCAGGGCAAGTTTAATTCATTTAATGTGTGCATATTAGGCATACTGAATTTTTATAAAAGGCCCCATGTAATTTATAACTGCTGTATGACTAAATAAAAGACCATGTATGTATCCATCATCTGAATGAGTAGTTCTACAGGTCAATTTTATAAACTCAGTAGATTTACGTGGACTTTTTTTTTGAGACAGTCTCAAGCTGTAGCCCTTGGTAGAGTGCCGTGGTGTCACAGCTCACAGCAACCTCAAACTCTTGTGCTTAAGCGATTCTCTTGCCTCAGCCTCCCCAGTAGCTCAGACTACAGGTGCCCACTGCAACGTTCAGCTACTTTTTGGTTGTAGTTGTCATTGTTTGACAAGCCCAGGGCTAGATTCAAACCTTCCAGCTCCTGTGTATGTGGCTGACGCCCTAGCTACTGAGTTACAGGCACTGAGCCTACATGGACTTTTTGTTGTTGCTCTTTTTTCTCATTTTGAGACAGGGTATTGCTCAGGTTGGTCTCAAACGCCTACTTGCCTCCCAAGTAGCTGGGACTACAGGCATACACCACTGTGCCTGACTTTGAGTAGACTTTTAACCAGTTTCTCAAAGTGTTAGCAGTAGTCTTTTGTGGAATAAGTAACTGAATACAGACAACAGGCACTTTGTTGGTAAGTTATAAAAATGTAAACCAGTTTTGCCATGCATTCAAGGAAGTGATATTTGTTTTTTGTTTGAGAACAGCAGTCGAAGAAATCATTACTGTGTGGAATATTTTGCTTGTTAAAGTTTCTCTCCACAAAGTCGTTAGAAAACCACTTCACTAAATTACCTCTGTCCAAGCCAATTATCTTGAATGTAAAAGTTCAGTTTAGATGTGAATGGCATTTATTCAATAAAGGAAGAGCCACTTGAGAGTAAAGTTCTGCTTGGTGGTCACAGACTTCATCTCTTACCTTTTTGTACAATGTAAGATGAAAATGTACTTAATCAGAAAGAAGTCTAGAAGAAACCAGGACAGTTCACTGCTCTTAAAAACAGAATAAAACTCAATTTACAGATTAATCTCAATTGAAGTGTAAGTTGGTGGTCATTTGCATGTGAATTGAACTCCAAATAAAACTACTTTTAATAATGTATAAATATTAAAGTTAATTCTGAGTTATCATGTATCTAGGTTTTTAATCCTATCCTTTTCCAAAAATTAAGTCACTTACCATAATTTACTACTGAGTAAATGCCAATCATGTCTAAATTGCAAGTATTTGAATGTATGTATTCCCAGGTTCTCTCTTTCCCAAGAAATTGTAAATTATTTTCCACTACAAAGGAAATTTACAGGTAAATTATCTTAATTAGAAACCATGTTACTTTTTTTTTTTTTTACCTTTAGTTGTTTTTCCTTTGATACCAAAGAGAAGTATAGATAACTGAAGATAAGTATTTTTTCTTGCACAGGGTAGAGACTGAAGTTGGTGACTACATGTTCTGCTTTGACAATACATTCAGCACCATTTCTGAGAAGGTGATTTTCTTTGAATTAATCCTGGATAATATGGGAGAACAGGCACAAGAACAAGAAGATTGGAAGAAATATATTACTGGCACAGATATGTTGGATATGAAACTGGAAGACATACTGGTCAGTATGGTCTTTTAATAAAATGATAAAAAGTATTAACATCCAGAGACCTTAGTATAGTAATAGGCACTGAACAGAGCATTTTATCTGCATTATCCAGGAAAAATCTGTTTCTAGTACTTTATTGTTTTTGCCATAAATACTTAGACATCATTTACGATTTCAATTTTACCTTATATTCATACAGCCTTTTAAAATCACTTACCTCACCAGGACCCTTATTATAAAATTAGCTTTTTTCAGAAGATGTGCAACTTAGACTGTATCTTGGTAAGCTTCTTTTACAAAATGTTATATTGAGACATTTTTGTATTATAGATACTTTTGTTTATGTAGTATGTACATTTAAAATGAAGTACAGTAGAACCTCCATAGTTAACTACCTCCCTACATGGACCACCTCCTTAAATTGACCTAATTTTCACAGACCAGACATGTACCACATTCATTCAATGGAAGTTACTTATGTTGACTCTTTTGTTATAGTCCCTTGGTTGGTCAACTTACAGAGGTTCTTTCTAGTTTCACTACTTTGTGAGATTGAAACATTGGATATTTTGCTAGATACTAAATCGGCTATACCAAAATCCAAAAAGAAAATATCATAAACACAAGGTATTATATAATAGGTGAATACCTAAAGGTTATCACTAATGGTTTTTAAAAACTAAATCATTTGCTAAGCACAATGGCATGTGCCTATAGTCCTAGCTACACAAGAGGACTTCTTGAGGTCAGCAGTTTGAGGCTGCAGTGCATCATGATTGTACTGTGAAGAGCCACTACATTCCACCCAGGGCAACATAGCAAGACCTCATCTCTAAAAACAGTTGTGTGAGGACTAAGGAAGAGATAACACATGTAAAATTCTTGGTGCTGTGCCACTCAAATAGTGTCATATCATCTACTTTCAATTTACAATGGTCTTGTTCCCTTGTTAATACATCAGGAGAACTAGTACATAACCTACAGAGGATCTTTAGGTAATATAAGTAGTACCTGTCCCATAATTAAATTGTGCACCTATCTGTCTTAAAATTGTATTTGTATAAAAAACTAACATGAAGCACATTTTTAAATTACCTTAAAATTTCTGAGCATTCTTTAATGGTAAAATTATTTTATTTATCTCCAGGAATCCATCGACAGCATCAAGTCTAGACTAAGCAAAAGTGGTCATATACAAACTCTGCTTAGAGCATTTGAAGCTCGTGATCGAAACATACAAGAAAGCAACTTTGATAGAGTCAACTTCTGGTCTATGGTTAATTTAGTGGTCATGGTGGTGGTGTCAGCCGTTCAAGTGTATATGCTGAAGAGTCTGTTTGAAGACAAAAGGAAAAGTAGAACTTAAAACTGTAAAACTAGAGTTTTAACATTGAAAAAAAGAGGCATAACAAGGCAATAAACTGTTAACATTCTCTTTCAAATTGTTTTCAGGCATCATAAATATCATTTTAATGTGAAAGGAAAACTGTTCACTTTGTGTGCCAATAGTCTTACTGGTCCAGTTGTACTTAAGTGTGCAAATGGAATATTTTGTACAAAGAGGTTTAATTGAAAGAAACCATAATAACTACATTTTCCTAAATTTGAAAATTTTACAAATGTCATAGATGATTTAAATAAATGAACAATGGGACTAAACGCAACACCAGTCTGTGTTTAAAAGGCTGTCTTATCTAAAACTTTCTTTGTAACTGTGGCAATTACAAATTGTAGAAGTTTTCAGTATATTAAGTTATAAATCATCTGAGAATTATGGATTGAATATATCTTTAGAAGACAAAGGCTCCACTTTTCTCTATTTACATACTCTCTTATAATGTAAATAGATGCATAGCTTTGAAGTACAATTAGATTTTTGAGATTTTTATAGCTAAATATATTTCAATGTATAATATAGCAAAAAGTATTAGTTTTATATACTTACGCTACATTCTCAAAAGCTGACATTTTGATAATTCTTAAAAATGCAGTTATACTTACCTAATTAAAACTAGGTCACATTTTTCTCTCTGAAGTGAAGAAATAGTCAAAGCTTGCTTTGTTTCCGTAAAGAACCAGTCTGTCTAACCGTTAGCTAAGGTATAGTATTTTAAAATTAAATACGAGGTAAAATAAGTTTATTTTTATATTATTTGTCAACAGTGTTATGTTAATTTTAACATGCTTGCTGACTAGACTAATCTATTATTATCATCAGTTTTGAGGTTAATGTTGCTAAAAGATCTGCAGCTAATATAAATATTTCCTTTTCTGAGTTTTAAAAATGATAAGAAACAATACAAAAGAATTTAGGTACACTTGAGAATACCTGGAATCCAGTTGGTTCATCATGACATCTTAATATAAATCATGAATTAATTTCCAGTTAAGTAGAAGAAAGTATATTTGGCTGTCAGTTTTATTTTCTTCAAGTATTATGTTTTGAATTACCTTTTATAAGCATTCAGATATGTTTTATGAAATGTAAGCTCTACTGTAAGGTTTAGCACTGGGTGTACATATTTAATACAATTTTTATAACTTTTATAAAATGGCCTTTCTCATCACTATTTATTGACATTGAAGGATTTGTAACACCCAAATGTGAATAACCCACATATACATAAAAAGTCTCTTCCATCCTAGCTTGTATCTATGGAGTCGCACTTAAGTCCTAGTAATTTAATTTCATTATGAATTAAACAGAATTTTTAAGTAATTCTCTGCACTGTACATCATTTGTAATAATGTTTATGACAGATGGAAACAATCAACTTAAAAATTTGAGTACAGACCCAACATATAGGTTAACACTGCTGGAATTCTTGATAAGCAATAATGATATTCAGAAAGAGAATGATTTCATTTACAATTTGCACTCGGAGTAGTACTTAGCTTTCTCTACTCACAGGTGTTTTGAAAAAATGAGTAATCCAGTTGCAGTAGTTCATGCCTGTAATCCTAGCACTCTGGGAAGCCGAGGTGGGAGGATCCCTTGGGTACAGGTGTTCAAGACCTGAGCAAGAGCTATGGTGCCATAACTAATAAAGCAGGATAGAAATATAAACTACTGAATCTTCTCCATAAAACTGTGATTGAGAATTCTACCTCTTATGTATGACTGTTACTATACTATATTCTAATTCCTTACCTAACACTGAATTTTTTTACATCAGATTCTATATATATGATTTATGCCACTGATTTTAAATTCATGATTCTTTCAACTTACTGTATAAAAATAATATTGGCTTTATTGGGAAAACAAATGATTTAGGAATATTAAGGATAATTCCACTTTTATAGACACAAAGTAAAAAGATATTTAAGAAACATGTTACCTCTATTAACTAAAAAAAGTAAAATCTGTAAACAAAAAGAATCTTCAACATTTCTAAAGGCATATTATCTGCTTCATATGGTTTCTTTGATGTTGCTATTCCATTTCTAAATTTAAAATATGCTAAAATTCAGTAAGCTATTTACTACTTTCCAGCTAATTTTGTCTTTAATTTTTATAAATTATGTAGAATTTTAAGTAATACAGTATCTAAGGCCTAGAGTACTCCAATTTGCATTTGGATGATTAATGACATGCTATTCTTTCATGTGAATGTCAATGTATGGAAGATAAATAAATGTTTGAAAAATAGTACTGAAATAAATTACAAATTGAAATGTGATTTAATGGTAAGCATATTTATTCTTAAGCATCATTATATGCAAAAAATGAGTAGCTATAATTTCATACCTCCTCAAAAAAAATCACTTCCCTGAAATGTTAAAAGAAATTGATTCAGGGTGGCCCCTGTGGCTCAAGGAGTAGGGTGCTGGCCCCAGCCAAAACTGAAAAAAAAAAAAGAAATTGATTCAGTATGTACTGACTTTTTATCTGAAATATTATACTGCACCAATCATTTTTGCTGAAATTACTGTATACTTGTGAACAGCCATCTTGAACAATGTTATTATGAGTACTGAACTGAGCATATATAATAAAAATTACTATCAAAGTTACCTACCAATCATTGTAAATGCTGTCTACTACTTAAAGCCTGCCTTGATCTCAATCTTAAATGTGCTCTTCTCTCCCAAGATTCTTCTTCATAAATCCTCAGGCACCTGCTTCTGTACTACTGTCACATTTCAGGTATCTAGACCTCTGGAAGGCACAGATTAAACAATCCATACCTAGGATGATCCTACATAGAGAAGACAGCCAGGCAGGGTACTTATTACATTGTGCCTAAAAGGTGCTTAAAATATGCAGAAGCAGAAATCATTAGTAGTTAAAGTTTGGAATACTAAGTAAGCATCCGGGGGGCTTGTTCTACTCCTCTATCCAGCCCCCACCCCCCCAGATATTGATACTTTAGGTCTGGAATATATATAGCTCAGGAGTCTTGATGTTTAACCAACACAATATGGAATTCTATCAGTTATCCTTAGACCATTTGCTAGCTAGATGTTTTTGGGAAATAAAACTCCTTTGAACTTATTTTGATTTTTAAAATATTTTAAGTAACATATTAAAATAGCATATAAGAAACTACAATGCTTGATGTAGGTTGATGTATTATTAGTCATTTCCCTCTAGACAAGCAACTTTCCCCCAAAACTGGCAGAGATCCTCAGGCACCTGCTTCTGCACTATCATCATATTCAGGCATCTGGACTTCTGGAAGACTTGTCCTAGACTACTGCCATATTACACACCTAATGTATCACAGATTAAACAAGCCATACCTAGGAAGATGCTATATAACATAAGGCAGCCAGGCAGGGTAGCTCAAGCCAGTCATCCTGAGCAACAGAGCAAGACTCTGTTGAATAAATAGATCTTATGGAGTAATTAATAAATAGAGAAGGCATATGGAGATGGATTTTGGATCCCTACATCTGAAAGAAAAACAAGAAAATTCCAGGCAGGATAAAACCTGGAGTTTTTCACTAATCATGAATTAACAGCACAGTAGGACTATTCAAAACAAAAAACCCCTGTCATGGCTTGGTGCCTGTAGCTCAGTCGTTAGGGCGCCGGCCACATGTGCCGGGACTGGTGGGTTCAAACCTGGCCAGGTCCTGCTAAACAACAACAACAACAACAACAACAACAAAAAATAGCTGGGCGTTGTGGAGGGTGCCGTAGTCCCAGCTGCTTGGGAAGCTAAGGCAAGAGAATTGCTTAAGCCCAAGATTTGAGGTGGTTGTGAGCTATGATGCCACAGCACTCCACCAAGGGCAATAAAGACTCTGTCTCAAAAGTAAATAAATAAAACCCTGTCACTTCAGTACAGAAGGCATATTAATAAGTCTAAGCCTGTCCCTGTGCTCAGATGGCTTCCAGAGCCCTGTCTGCCTTTGTTCCTTTGTGTTTGTTTAGGGAGCTATCCTGGCTCTACTACCTAATCTATCTTCTTTGTTTCTTCTAAGGTGCTAATAAAAAGCTGAATAATTTTGGCTCAGCGCCTATAGCTCAACCGGCTAGGGCGCCAGCCACGTACACCTAAGGTGGCGGGTTCGAATCCCCACCCCGGACCCGCCAAACAACAATGACGGCTGCAACCAAAAAAAAAAAAAATAGCCGGGCGTTGTGGTGGGCGCCTGTGGTCCCAGCTACTTGGGAGGCAGAGGCAGGAGACTCGCTTGAGCCCAGGAGTTGGAGGTTGCTGTGAGCTGTAATGCCACGGCACTCTACCCAGGGGGACAGCTTGAGGCTCTGTCTCAAAAAAAAAAAAAAAAAAAAAGCTGAATAATTTTGTATCAGGAAAAAAAAATCTAAGCCTGTTAAAATACAAACAAAAATAGGCTTAGATTTATCAATATGCCTTCTATAATAGAGTAGGAAGAAAGAGAAGCAGTGAAATGAACAATGAGAATCGGTTGTCCAAACTAAGAAAAACTTCTTCAAAGATACTACTCCCCAATCCTGAAGTCTCAATGATGATCAAACATTGTAAAGGGGATTGCTTTATATCCAGTATCAAATAGAAGGCTGGACTAACCCTAACCCTTCTACCCTTGATTTCAATTCTAAAAGGAAGTAATGCCATTTGTAGAAGAAAGCTGAAAAACAAGAGACCAGAGCTTTAAAAGAAATTCTGGAGCTGTCTGCCAGGATGCAAAGGAAACTGGATTAAGTGAATCCCTCATATGTTACTTTTAAGATATGAAAGAGCCACTCTGAAAAATATTCTTACCATTTTATAAACATGCACACACATATACATATGTACACACACGTGTATATTAAAATAGCATATCATAGTACATTAGAACACAATTTAAATTTTAAATTGCACATAAACTTTATGAACACACTGTACGTGTGTGTGTGTGTGTTCGTGTTCCTGTGTATATTACAAATATATTACATATACATATAAAATCCAGTATTTGTACTCTTGGACCTTTATCATTAAAACATGAAAACTTGGCTCGGTGCCTGTGGCTCAAGCGGCTAAGGCACCAGCCAGCCACATTCACCTGAGCTGGTGGGTTTGAATCCAGCCCGGGCCTGTCAAACAACAATGATTGCTGCAACCAAAAATAGCCAGGCATTGTGGCAGATGCCTGTAGTCCCAGCTACTTGGGAGGCAGAGGCAGGAGACTCGCTTGAGCACAGGAGTTGGAGGTTGCTGTGAGCTATGATGTCACAGCACTCTACCCAGGGTGACAGCTTGAGGCTCTGTCTCAAAAAAAAAAAAAAACATGAAAACTTATGTTCAAATAATAACTTGAACATAAATGTACATAGCAGTTTCATTTGTAATAGCCAAAACCTAGAAACAACCC